CAAATAACCATCTTCTATCTAACTCCCTCTCTCTGCATCCAGCACGTCAACGATAACGGCAGACCCGCCTCTATTTTCTTCGTTAGCACCATCCTTCAATCTTTCTCTGTGCGCAACAGTTCCCTGCACTGTGCGCTAACGGCCTAGCCTCATTATCCTTATCAAGCTTCATCAATTCTCCGCGCCTACTTCCGTCGTTGTTCAACAACAAACAGCAGCTTCACTTCTTCTGACAAATTTAACATCCCGATAATCGTTTTCTCTCAACTTTGTTCAACTGAGTTGCTGATTTGTTTATATAACTACGTTTGATTCTGTAGTAGTGTTGGATTATGCTGAATTTATTGTGTTGGATGCCATTCTATTTGTGTATGTTGAGTTGTTGTCATGTTTTGTTTGAATTCGATTGAAATTTATACCGTGAAAATTTGTTCTCGTTTTGATTTCAATTGAATTTGTGGCGAATGATATTCATGTTAGTTTCGGTGAAGTAGACGTCTATTCCGTGTTCATTTGCATAGAATATGACCAAGAAACTATGGGGCAGCCGGTTTATTTTTATTGTTGAATCAAATTTTAATTGGAGAATAAACCCTTATCAATTGCTTTTCTTCTTTTAGAGGCAGAGTTTCATGTTGAATCATGTGTTCCATGTTTCTAATCTGAAACCAAATTATAAATCTAGAGAAGTTAACACAACAAAACAGACATAAGAATCAAATCCTGGTAAATATCTCAAGAATAACAAAATGAATGCATACCTTGCTATCGATATCCCCTACAGAAATTGCATTATTTAATCTATTCATGGTGGATTGAACTGAATCCATCTCATGCCGTTTGGATTTAAGCAAATCTCTCGCAGCTCTCTCTTCTTGTACTGCTGCTCTAAATTCTTGCCCATACTCTTTACAACTGGCCTGATTGAATTATCATTCAAAATAATTATCTAACATCATAGACTGTTCTTTTCTATGTTGTTAATCAAACATAACATTCTAATATTATTTAGTAATTGGAAACAAGGCCTTATTAGTTCTGCAAATCTACTTGTCTAGAGCATACTTTTGAGGACCAGATTTTCAACAAAAAACATGATCTCTGGAAGGTATTGTTGGTCAATACCCAACCACCTCAGCCTATAGCACAGTGTTCTTAAAGACTTGAACTACCATGGACTAGTAATGGAAACACAGTGCTTCATGAATGACTATCTTTCAAAACTTAATAGCAAACATGCTAGTGTATAAAATGCAACTAATCTCATTAGTCTTTGATAAAGTATATGCATACAAGTACAACAGGGGTCATACGAGAGAACCAATATAAGATGGCTCATTGACTGTCTTGTTCTCCTAAGGGTGGCTACATCTGACTTATGGCACTCTCATCTCAGGTCATAAGTTATATTATATCATCTCATCAGGGGGCTACGTCTCATTGATAGACTTCTCCTCTTATAAGTCATATAAGTGGAGAAGATTATCAATGATTATGATGAGTGGTTTATTCCAAAGGAATGGCTCCATCTATCTAATAGCTCTATCCCAACTGCCACTGGAATCATATCTCATCTCGTTGAGGGAGCTATATCTCATTAATACCTATTTAACAAATATCTTTCTCTTTCTAAAATCATATAACTAGGTGTACACAGTTACCCCTGTTAGCAGCAGTGAGATTCTGACCTGGATATAAAGTACAAATAATAGAATTCTGAATCTCTTAATTTCAAATTCAAGTCTTTCAAATAAGAGTACTTGCTTATTATCCATTTCACTGAATAGAAAGCTGAACTTTTTTCCTTCTTTTTGGGGTGTAATAAGTAACTTGGTGCTTTTCATATATGCTTCAGACTACTAATGAAATAATTTATTTGTATTTTTAGGCCTTATGTCTGTTAGTTATCCTTGCTGATATGCTGGTTTATGCTCTGTATATGTTCTGTTATGCATATTTGCTTACCTTTTTAGTCTGGCTTTCAGCTCGAATTTCATCACGGATTTTAGTCTTCTCTTCCACTTGTTGAAGAGCATGTTGAATCTGCTCTTTTATATTTCCAAATCTTCATTGGTCTGTTTGCAAGAGTAAATTCCATATAAACTTTAAATAAGCTGTTTTTAAAGCTCCATGAGTGGATTTATCAAAATAAACAATGGAAATAAGCTTAGAACAACTTATAAGTTTTTTTTAAACATTTACTTATTATGACCAAGGTACTGTGTTTTGAATTCCGAGTTTGATTTTTTGTTCTTCCATTTGTTCAACTATGTTATTGACGATGTTGTTAATGTTATTATGAATTTTAGTATTGAATATTAGTTCAATGTTTCAGATTTCAAAGCAATGTGATGAATGTGGTATATTCAAGTAAATTGTAGTTCTTCAATCAATTTCATAACTGTTATGTTTCCTATTCAATAATTTTGTATAGAATTTGATTAATTTTCTCTTCTATATAATCGCTTTTATAGAATTGGTGTACATAGGAATTGAAAACATCATAACAAAGCAAACATTGCAAGGTCTATTGGAGGTGCCGAAGCTAGACTTTCTCAAAAAGTTGAAATTGCACACTGCATCTATTGGAGCTTCACAGAGAGGTATGAACCTTTTTATAAATGACTCATCATAGATTTTGAGGATCCTTGTATGTATCTCTATCATCATTTATATGAATGCAAGTTGATATGTTAATTCACCGATGCAATTTGTTTCGATGATTTATCGAAAAATAATGTCCAGATAATTTTACTGAAGTTTGATGTTCATAATGACCTATGATTTGAAACTAAACTTAATAGTAGAGTGAAATCCATATAATGTTATCGATATATTTGAAGCTATGATTAGAAATTGTATAGAAGTACCATTAGGCTTTTTGAAACTGAAATTATTATAGAGAAACGATTGTTGACTTCAAAATTTTGATGTGAAATGAATAATACAATTTAGTTACGTGAGAAAGATCTTCATCTATATCACTATTACCTTTTTATTTTAACAAAATCAAACCAAAAGTTTATCTATCTATCAAGGACTACTCCTTTTTCAAATATGGAGTTTTCTTATCAATGATAACGCAGAAGTACATTGCACTTTGAACCAAGTTTTCTCACTTTATATAAACTTAACCATGACCAAAGTACACACTACTTGCGTACTCTACTTTGATAGTATAAAAGTTATGCTATGTCTGTTCACATAAACTAAAAGTATGTTTCAAAACCATACTGCTGCTGGACTGTGAATCTTTGACAGTTGAAAAAGAGAGATATAACTTCATATTTGAAACAAAACCATGTTGTCTCGTGTAAAAACATTACTTTTAATAATAGCTTTTATCAATAATAGTTTTTATCATTTTAATTTCTTTTTTAAACTTTGTATGAATGTTAAGGTGTTTGCGATTATGAATCTTGTGGTGGTATGTTTTTTCGTGCCTTCTTAAAGTCTCATTTTCTTTTATGCAATTGTTTATGAAATTTCTTGTTGTTTGTAGTAGGTAAAATGGATCAAGTGAACACAACCCCGGAACCAGAAGGAGCATCTAATCCTACACAAGAAAGTACATGTCCAACTCAGGAGGTATCTTCTAATCCGAATCCGACACCTGAACCTGATATTGGGCAACAAGAAGAAATTGATACAATTTTAGAACCTGCATCAAAGAAAATTAGAAGTAATGTGTGGCAAGAATTTAAAAAGATGAAAGTGAATGGAAAAGATAAGGCTGAATGCATCTGGTGTAAAAAACAACTTAGTGGCACTTCAAAGAATGGAACAAATCACTTGAAAGGACATCTCTTGAGTTGTATTCAAAAAAAGATCAAGACTAGAAACCATGACAAAGGACAACCATTTCTCCTACCGACTATCTCAGAAGGAAAGCAAGAGTTGGGAATTGGAACTTATGATCCAGAACATGTGAAGAAGTTGATTGCTAAAGCTATTATTATGCACGATTATCCACTATCAATTATGGATCACATTGGTCTTAGAAGAGTCTTTGTTTCTCTCCAACCATTGTTTAAAGTTCCTACTCGAAACACAATCAAGAAGGAGGTATTGAAAGTTTATGATTTTGAGAAAAAAATGTGCTATGAAGATGTTAGATAACCATGAAGGGAGAGTGGCAATTACCACAGATATGTGGACTTCAAGCAACCAAAAAAAAGGGTATATGGCGGTTACGGCTCACTATATTGATGGCTCGTGGACTTTACAGAGTCGAATCTTGAGGTAACAATGTTTATATTTTATAACTTAATTGTATCTTTTTTTTGTTCTTAATGACAATAAGTGAAAGACTTGTTTTTTGTAAATATTATGTTAGGTTCATTTATGTTCCAGCCCCTCACACTAGTGAAAGACTTGCTGAAGCACTTGTTAATTGTTTAATGGACTGGAACATTGATTCAAAGCTTTCTACGATTACTTTAGATAGTTGTAGCACAAATGACTCAATGATTAGGAAAATTAAGGATAAGTTGTCGTTGGAATGTTTAATAAGGGATGGGTCTTTGTTACATATGCGTTGTTGTGCGCACATCCTAAATTTAATTGTTCAGGAGGGGCTACAAGTGATTAAAGATGGCATAGAAAATATTCGGGATATTGTAGGATTTTGGAGTGCTACACCTAAAAGGTATGAAAAATTTGAAGATACCGCTAGACAATTGAGAATTATTTGCACTAGAAAGTTAGCTCTAGATTGTCCAACAAGATGGAATAGCACATATAAGATGCTTGATATTGCCATAGAGTACAAGGATGTATTTATTCGGTTAAAGAAACGTGAGTCTTTGTACACTTGTCTTCCAACTAATTCACAATGGCAATTTGCTAAAGATGTTTGTGGGTGCTTAAAATTATTTAATGAAGTAACTGAGTTGATTTCTGGTACAAAATATCCAACTGCCAACTTGTACTTTCCTAAGATTTGTAAGATTAAGTTGGCAATAGAGGAATGGAAGAAGTCCTCCAATTCAATTATTGAGATGATGGCCACAAGAATGATGGAAAAATTTCAAAATTATTGGAGTGGTGTTCATGATATGATGGGAGTTGCTGCAGTTTTGGATCCTAGGAAGAAGATGGTTGTACTTAGTTTCTGGTTTCCTAAGTTGTATGGAGAAGAATCAAGTGCACAAGTTAGTAGAATTAAAGACATGTGTTATGATTTGCTCAATGATTATCAACATATTAAACTTAGAGATGCACAACCTACTGCTCCATCCATTGGTACAACTGCTATTATTGATGACGAGGCTGAATTTGATGCATACGTTGATACAATTGCCGTTGCCGAAGACTCAAGTTCAAGTGTTAAGTATGAGTTAGATCATTATTTGAAAGAGCCAGTTATAAAAAATACTCCAGAATTTGACATTTTGAATTGGTGGAAGGTAAATGGATTTGTGTATCCAACACTTCAAGCAATTGCAAGAGATGTGTTAGCTATTCCTATCTCTACAGTAGCTTCTGAATCGGCCTTCAGTAATAGTGGTAGAATATTGAGTCCTCATCGTAGCCGACTTAACTGGACTACCGTAGAGGCTTTGATGTGTGCTAGGAGTTGGCTATGGGCTGCTGAGAATAACGGTATGTCATTGTCAAATTATTTTTACTTTCTACCTTAATTTTTTTTGTTATATAATGTATTACTACTTTGGTATGTCATTGGCAAATAATATATTACTAATTTTTCTTGTTATATAATATATATAGGAATTTTTAGAGTTGCAGAAGAAATTGCTACTGTGTTGAATGAAATGGAGTCAGACGATGAAGGTATTTTGTACTTCATTTGGTGTAGAAGTTTTAAGCTTTAGTGTTTTATTTAACATCAATTTATTTGTTAATACAGCTGAGTTGATGGAAGGTTGTTTGGGTTACCATTTTGAAGATTAGAAGTTGTTGTTTCTATATGTTAACATGGTGAGTATTATTGTTTCTATCTTCCACCATTGTTGCCCCGACTAATTTGCACTAATGCTTTTGATATTAGACAGTTCTTTTAGTGTTGTGCTTATGTTTCTAGACAGTTCAAAAACATGATATTTAACGCGCATGCAAGCATGCTGAAAGTTAGTAGACAAACATTATTATAGACAGTTTTATTCCAGTTGCAAACATGATAAATTATCAAGAATATGGCATGTTAAAATTATTACAATTTAAAAGCGATATGTTATCTGTGTTGTAAGCTATTACATCTCTGTATGTATCAAGAAGTGGTCTAAAGGATTCTTCTTATTACAATTTAAAAGTTCAGCATTACCAAGAATTAAGTTACATGTTTTATATGTTTTAAGTTTCACATGTTTGTTATTACAATTTAAAATTATGATGATAATATCTATTAGTGTTTCTTAACATGTGAAATATATTTTCTTTGTAATAGGTAAAATAGATCAAGTGAACACAACTCCGGAGCTGGAAGGAACATCTAATCTTACACAAGAAAGTTGTAATATATTAGCTTGTTGTTGTTGAAAAGTTGTAATTTGATTGTAGAATTTAATTTTAATTGTAATGTTAAGATGTTGAAGACTATGTTAAGATAATTGTGATTGCATTTTCTTGAAGACAATGTAAAGAGACCTTATTTTAATTGTAATTTTTTTATTTATTTTTGGTGCGGGTTTGGGTTTGGGTGAAAAAACCCGAACCCAACGGGTGCGGGCGTGATTTTGTCACCCGAATAGCCTTCGGGTTCGGGTTTGGGTGAAAAAACCCGAACCCAACGGGTGCGGGCGCGGGTGTGATTTTGTCACCCGAATAGCCTTCGGGTTTGGGTTCGGGTGATGATTTCGGGTGCGGGTGTGGGTAGTGTGAAACACGCACCCGACCCGACCCGTTGCCATCCCTAGGGGTCTGCCCTAACTGTTCCACGACGTCGTAGTCGCTCCTTCTGATTATCTTTAATATTTCTTCCATTTCTTTCTGGGTGGTTTCGGGGATAACCACAACATGAGCCTTCGTCCTGACAGGCGCTTCTAGTATCCCCTTACCCTTATTGGTGGTATCAATAGATGGTCTAACTTCAGGAGTATCCAATTCTTCAATCATCAGGCCTTGCACAGATGGCTTAACAGAAGCTTTCGAGGGTCCGAAGATTGCTCGAGGGGGAGCAATCTCTGGAGAAAAAATCTGGCCGCTGCGAGTTATCTTGCTTGTACCCGCAATGTTCCCTATATCAGGGGTTTCCTCTTCAAAATTCTCTTAGACTGATTCAATCTGTTTGATGCCATGATAGAATATTTCTCCTCCGTAGTTCAATGGTATCGTCTTGCTAGATTGATACGGGACAGGCCCCGGCATGGTGATTTTTAATGGTACAAATTCAGGATCAGGTGTAATCTTGACAGGCCTTTTGCAAGCCTTGGGAAGATTGTCGGAAATGGTTATTATTGCGATATCGTTGGTTGAAGTAGCAGAAGTAACAGGAGTAACATGAGTGAAGGTATCAACAGGTTTTTTTTGGAAGAGTATCTCTTGGGTATCCATCAGGCATTGGATGCCTGACTTCAACATTGGGCAATCAACTCATATGTTTAAACAAAAGTAACAGTCCTTTCCGCAGCCTGGGAATATCCCGTCTCTCATCAAACTCACTTTAATCACTGGTAAGGGAGTCAAAAGGTCAGCAACATTGGTAACATGAAGGTCTTCCATAACGGCATAAACATTATGACCGTGCTTGGGCATTGGGGTAGAAATCACATTGGGCTTCTCAGGAGCATCAAACTCTACCTACTTAGCATCTATCAGGTCTTGGATTTTGTTCTTAAGCGCCCAACAATTATTGGTATCATGCCTAACACTGTCAGAGTGGTAAGCACACTTGGCATTGGAGTGGTAATATGGCGAAGAAGTATTAGGGTTCTTTGGCGCTTCCTTCAAATTGGTAAGATTCAGCTTTAGCAAATGAGGGAGTACTTGAGCTGGCGTCATGTTGATTCAGGTGAACTGCCGTTGTGGCCTTTCTACCCGTTGTTGATTAGGTCTTGACTGATTGCTGCGAGGTTGATCATTTGAAGAGTTTTGAATCATCACAGCCCCTACAGTTGGCCGACGCTCGGTTCTTCCTTGAATTTTCTGAGAATAAACAGCAGAGGCTTCCTTCTTAGATGGGAAGGTTTTCTTAACAGCAGCGGACGCGGAGGTATCTTTCTGAATCTTACCATTTTTAATACCGGCCTCGACCCTTTCGCCGGTCAGAATTAGTTCAGTAAATCCCGCGGAGGAACTCCCAATTAAATGATTGAAGAAAGGGCCAGACAGGGTTCCCAGAAACATGTCAACTAGCTCTCTATCCGACAATGGTGACTGCACCCTTCCAGCCAGATCACGCCACTTCTGGGCATACTCTTTAAACCCTTCATTAGAAGCCATACCCATACTCTGTAGTTGAGTACGAGTGGGCGCCAAATCAGCGTTATATTGGTATTGACGGTAGAAAGCAGCAGCTAAGTCTTCCCAATTATGAACCTCTGATCTCTCGAGTTGATAGAACCAGTCCAATTGTGTGCCTGATAAACTGTCTTGAAAAAAGTGTACCCATAGGTCTTTATCAGATGAGTGGGGTTGGATCTTTCTGACATAGGATCTCAGATTCATCTTTGGGCAGGACAGGCCTTCATACTTAGCAAATGTTGGTACTTTGAACTTGGGAGGGATGACGATCCCAGCGACCAGCCCTAGTTCTTCGAAATCTAAACCAGGTACCCTTTGCAACTCCATGACTGCCAATCTATCCTCAAGATTTTTATATTTATCATCCACTGAGGGATATTGCTGTTCGGAGTAGTCTTCATCCTCTTCCTCTTCTTCTTCTTCTTCTTCTTCAATTTCAGATTCAGAAGGTCCCGCAGCTCCTTTTCCTTTACCAGCCCCTTCATCAGACGTTGAGGGTAACTCGAGAACTTTTCTAGCATTGCTTCCAAACCTTCTTCCAAAAGTGGCTACTCCGGGCCTTTTCTTCTTTTTCTCTTTATCTTTCTCCAACAGTGCTTTAAGGTCCTCTTGACCCTTTGCTAAGGTCATGAGGAGTTGCTGGAATTGAGAATTCTGTGCTTGCAGATCCTTAACCGTCTGCTCCAAATCCATCTTGCTGAAATAAACAGCAGAAAGATAAGGAAACCTGGTGTGAAGACCTGTTTATGCATATGATGAATGATGCATTATTCATGTAATGCATTCAAGGATTCAAAATTTCAAATTTTTTGCAAACAAAAAGAACACACGTCATATTAAGAAGAAATTTGTTAGTACATAAGTGCCCCATGGGAAAAATATTACAAAATTCTTAATGTAAAAAGACATTGCGCATCCTCTTTTGTGCGATGTAAGTGTTGAGAGTTTCCTCCTCATGAAGTTGGCGGGTAAGCTCCAAAACCTTCTTCTCACTGGCTTAAAAGCTGGCTTCAAAAGTATTTCGTTCTTCCTTGAGTTGGATCCAACTCTTTTGCAATTCTTCCCATGATGTTGGCATGTCAGGATGTAGGAGGGTGTATGGAACCTCTCCTTCCATAACAGGCTCTTTGATCATGGGGAGAATGTGAGGGTATGGCATCATAAGATTCTGGGCGCGGGTTCGTACCCACTTGAGATAAGGCTCAAGGGGGATGGAATTCTTGTGCCCCAGTGTCTTACTGTCTACCTTGTTGGGCATCCTCCAAGCTCTGATGAACCTTTTTCGAAGTCCTTGTGTATCGTTGTCGAAGTCAAAAACCAGGTCAGGAATCAGCATGTCATGAGGGTCATCCCTCCGAGCATATCCAAACTGTATTAGAGCTAAACAAGAGTTGTAGGTAATACCTCCCCTAATGCAAGTAGTGGGACATTAGGGAATTCCCCACAATGATTAATGATGATGACATTTTCTCTGGACTGAGAACACCAATGAACATCAGAATGTGTGAGGGTCATCAATCATTGTGACCACCTTAAACCCTGCTCATTCTTCAAAACTGATTGTGGAAGGTTACAAATAAACCAACTTGCTAGGAGAGGAGTACATCACATGAGAACACCTCTTTTCCTCATTGTTCGTGTGTAAAATGAGTGTAGGATGTCCCCAAGCAATGTAGGTACAGGATTCCGGGATATGAAAATCTTGACAGCATTCACATCTATAAGCTGATCAGGGTTTGGGAACAAAACCAACCCATAGATGAGGAGTGCCACAATCTCTTAAAAGGCTTGTAGATCTAGAGAATTCCAGTAGTCTTGTGCCTTCTCAAATAGAAACTATGCCAAGAAACCCTTGACACCACTTCTGGTTTCCCAATGTCCTTTGATGTCAGATGGTTGCAAGTGTAATGCTTGAGCAACATCTTCAGGCTTTGGTTCTTTTTCCGTACCGTTGTAGGGAAGTTAATGGAGAATAGGAATCCTCAGGAGTTGAGAAAATTCCTCCAAAGTAGGGACTAGCTGGTAATCAGGGAATGTGAAACAGTGGTGTAGGGGGTCAAAGAACTGGAAGAGAACTTTCACCATGTCTTCTTCAATGTTGGAGTTGACAAAGTTGAGAAACCTACCATGTCTTTCACTGAAGAGAGAATTCTCTGGGATCCTAGAACTAAGCTCCTTGAGTTGAGGAGGGATTCTCACAAGGTTGACTTGAATTGTTTTCCTGCGAAGAGATTCCATGACCTACAAAACAAGAACAAAGATGAAGGTCCAAACCCTTGAAATGGTTAGTGGATGCATATGATGCTTTATGATGTTCATGATGTATGCACAAGTAAATGTACAAACAAGTCACACAAAACCCTAGTTTCAGGCTTGCATGAGGTTTCATAGGTAAATACCCTCTTGAGTTTAGTTGGATCAAACCGGTCCTATAAATAGTAACCGGGTTCTAAGGAGCTCAATATCACTGGATTATTTTCTATGTTCATTGT